CGGGCCCAGGCACAGACATCGTAGCTGGGAAGGGAACCACAGCAAAAGCAGACACGGTGGCTGCAGAATAAATTGTCACGGGCAAAAGTTGACGAACTTTCTAATTCCACCTCCTACAATCTATTATGCTCATAGTAGGATGTCTAGATTCCTTACAACGATTTTGAATTAGGAAATGATATGTCTTAGTTTAAAACGGCGCATTGACAATTCCCACTGACATTTTCTGCCTTCGAAACTTTTACCTGTCTGGTTTTGTTAGTTCTAATTCCAGTTATGACTACGTCCATAAAGACGATATGCAGTAAGAATGACACGCAGGTCTGTATACGTACGTAAGATTTCTGCTCGTCCTTGTAGAAATATTTTTATACTCTGTAAATCTTTCTTCGAATAAATGTGTTATTTGAAAGCTGTCCATAATGTTTTATATATGCCTACTTGTATCTTCTTTTTTAATTTAAAACAGTGTTTAGGATATGATTACCATGAAGTTAATTACTGAACTGTTGTCACTTGAATTTAGGCAAATTGATGTTTAAATACGCATCTGTTAAGAAGGTGGGAGCCGGGATAGTGCAGTCGGTATAACGACTGGCTACGGGCTGGACGACCAATGGGTCAGAGTTCGAGTACCGATGGAGGCAAGAATTTTCACTTCTCTATGTCGTCTATACCGGCTTGGCGTCCACCTAACCTCCTATCCAATGGTTACCGGGGGCTTTTTCCTCGGGGGTAAAGATGCCGGGGCGTGAAGCTGACCACCCACCTCCAACTAGTCAAGAAAACTTGGGTCTATATATCCACTCCCCAGTACGACTTCATAGCATAGCGCTTAATTAGTTAAACACAGAGACAAAATTACCTGTTACCTTTACCTGGTAAGGAGGTGGTGTGTACTAGGTGCTTGTAGGATAAGCCCACCCAGCGTCCTTGCTTCTTGCATAACCGGCCCCAGTTCACATGAAGAGTGGACTGACTACACATAGAGTGTTTAGTTTTGTCGAAGCGCTTGTTATAGATTATTTATCTTGTCAGAGGAGTAAATATTTCAAGAAGCTTCAGTGAATACTGTTTCCTTCATGTGAGGTGGTTATGCAGACAGCAGATTCACTTTCCAAGGTATGCTGGAGTAACGTGTCGGTCGAGAGATTCCGTATTCGTGGGGTCCCAATATCGGCTTCGAGACCGGGTACACTGACTGGGGTTTTCATAGTTTTTTGCAGTCCTTCCAAGCAATAATCTCAGATTAGACCACAATCGCTTCTTCCCTAACCCTTCCATTTATTATTTTCTAGTCGACCTATAGTTCGGCGCCCTACGCTTATAATGTAAACTATTGAAAACATCGTTGAATAAACAATGACCTAAAATAAAAGTAAACATCAGCCAGCAGAATGTTAGAATTTAACTGTGTCTGGTATAGAGCATGTGGGTCAAGTTTCAGCAAATACAAAATAAATGTAAAAAGAATATTCTAATTTCTTTACTGGGCTCATCTAAATTTCCTAAACATATTCTGTCCGGAGGTACGAGGACTTTCTGTGCGTACTGTATGTGGCTGACGTTCAAGACGAGCAGTTGTACCGCAATAGGCAAATTTTCATTGTGGGTCACTCAGCATTTGCACACCATACAGACCTAATGTAAAGGTATATTTTATTGCTAGTGGGGTGGGACTAAGTCCCTTGTACTGCGGCCACTTCTGGCCTATTGTACCAGCCCCAGATGATAGGTGAGGGTGATTGTGGAGCAATTGGTGGAATGAAGATTGGCAGGGGAAACCGAAGTACTCGGAGAAAACCTGCCCCAGCGCCACTTTGTCCACCACAAATCCCACTTGACCAGACACGTGATCGAACCCGGGCCGCCGCGATGGGAACCCAGCGACTAACCGCTTGAGCTATGGCTATGTCCCTGTTCTTAACTAATTAAGGCGTATGGGGGAATGGTTGTATATAACCATATATTCTTTCTCTCGGCACTCCCTGGAGGTGAGTGGTCAGCTTTACGTTCCGGCCGCTTTACCCACGATAAGCACTGGATATAAGGCTGGGTGGAGCCCAGAGCCGGTCTGGATAACGTGGAGAAGAGAAAATTCTTGCCCCTACCGGGACTCGAAGTCAAACCTTTCCAGCCTATAGCCAGTCGCTATATCGACTACGTTTTCCCGGCTCCTTATAGGCCTAATGTACATGTAATAAGTCTACTGTTGTATTGCTAAAATGACTATATAAGTAGGAATATAGGCTTTGAAGCACTACAACACCGATGACAGGGTCTGTGTCGTGAAATAGCGATATAATCATACAATCATAAGGTCCCAGACGGAATCATGTTAGTAGCCATTATTAAGCTACGACTGTTGGCCTATAACTGATTACAACTTGGAAAGAACAAGATACGCGAAAATAAGTTGTAAAATTGAAAATCGTTGGGTATAGGCCTAAGCAATAGGAATCCTACATAAATATTGTCAGAGGCACAGGTGTGTGAATGACTTTTTTGTCATTTCTAGTGGGGTGGGATTAAGTCCCTTGTACGGCTGCCACTTCTGGCCTATTGTACCAGCCCCAGATATTAGGTGAGGGTGATTGTGGAGCAATTGGTGGAATGAACATTGGCAGGGGAAACCGAAGTACTCGGAGAAAACCTGCCCCAGCGCCACTTCGTCCACCATAAATCCCACTTGACCAGACCCGCGATCGAACCCGGACCGCCGCGGTGGGAAGCCAGCGACTAACCGCTTGAGCTATGGCGCGGCCTTGTGTGAATAACTTTATTTGTGCATTAATATACATTATACGGAGTAATAGATCAATGATTTAAATAGTTTAATATAAACCTGTAATTCAACGTTCATTTGTTGAATTAACTTTTTATCGTAAATGTATATTTCTTGTTAGGGGAACCCATGTAATTACGCGGAAATTGGGTATAGCCTACTGGAAAATTAAATTATTAGGATTGTTCCTTTATTTGTGGAGTCTCCCATTTTGGGGGAGGACTAAACGCAATTTGAAATGCCGTGATCACAAGAATGTATGCGAATGCTCATGCGAGCGACTGCAGATTTTCACGTTATTTCTTCGCATCTTTTGAGGCTGCACACACTTTTCAGGGCGTAACACAGTTTCTGCAGAAGATGCAGTTGTCATAGTTTGTTTGCTAAGCTATTGTACGTGTTAGCCTAATGTTCCGTGTCATAATCTTCCAGCATTTTTTAACAATTCTGCTCATCGCATATGCAAATTATCATCTATAGGTAGTTCTGAAAAATTTACTCCTTAAATTGCATTTCTCACCTTTTCATTTTATATTAAATTCTATTTATGCTGTTCTTTGTACAATTAAGAACCAAAACATTGCAACTGAAAAATAATAAATATAGTAGATTCATATATGTCTACAATATAAATAATATTTACTTTTGATTTTATTAATTTTAATTCAAAATACGTAGATTTTTCATTTGACTGAATTGAAACAGACAAAACAAGTTATAAGTCACAACAGAGCAGACTCTCAACACATTAATGCCATTTATGTTATCACAATGTTTTAAAAAATGCCAAGTGTGAGAGAATAGTGAGGTTTGTTATAAGCGTGCTCCACTCCACTGCCGTGTATTTATTGCTTGTTTCCTCCTGGTACTGTCGGTGCGTTTTGATTTATCATAACGCGCTTAGTCCGGTAGAAGCGACTGGAGTCATGTAGAATAAACAAATACTCCCTCCCTTCCAAATCCTTTGAAAGCCATTAAAATAGAAATAAAAAATTTCCCCTATGGTTGTACGCAATGTGCAAAGCATGCGACATTCTTGTAGGTTTTGGTGTATGTGAGTGAATTTTTAACGTTTTCTAACTCATATATGAATGTTAATATAGGTGCTAAATTTTAAAACTAAAAGGGGATGCATTCGTTTAAAAAATGGACATAAAATGAGCAAAAGATATAAGCTTATTAAGGTAGAAACTAGAATTATATGAAAATTATGATGCTGAATAATAATGACCGTAGCTTATAATATTTTTAGGCCCTGGAAGAGTATTTCAGATAGTCATCCTGTTCATCACAGGATACATTAATGGTTTTGCAGGGTCTACGTTCTTAAATTTCTTTCGTCCTTAAAGTTTTCATAAATAATTGGCTTATTATTCTAATAACACATTTTGTTGATCTTGTAACAGTATCTGAACTGAAATAGCCATATTTCATTTCAGTACGAGTAATTTCCACGCGTCCTCTTCGCGCGTAGGTTGATCTTTTAAATTTGTGGAAGTAAGAATTGTAAGGCGAATTCTCGAGAATCGCAAACCGTCTTAGCCCTGCAGGTTCATATATAGACGCCGATGCTACTTGTCTACTGGTCTAGCGGAACTTTTTAATTTGAGCGTTAGGTCTATCTGAAAGTTTCTACTATCGTTATACTTAACTTTCTTAGAGGAAATAAATCTTGCAGCCCACGGTAATATGTTCGCTAACCTAACCTAACCTAACCCAACCCTTAATCTGCGGTCTACCTGAAATTTCACACTATAGCATGCAGTTTACCAGAACATATACTGCGAGCACATTTTCATTGGTTTAGTTGTGCATTTGAATTGCAAGTGAGTCGTTTACAATTCTCTTCTCTACTGTAGAAATGACGTGGAACAAAAACCGATGATTCATAATTTTAAAAATTAAACACAAATGAATTTTCAAAATCAATATTTGCAGATTGAGTTAAATTTACGTCTAGAACATGTTTTAAAATATGTGATTTATGATATTGACGACGGTATTAGGAAGGGAACGAAGTCAAAATTAAACATTCAAAAGTTTTCCAAAAAATTAATATAAATCTAGGCACCCATTCTTTGGAGCATTTAGATTTTCTTAAACCACTTTATTTTTTTAATATATATCCCATAATACTTTACTTTAGACTTTCTTGAACGAAATATACATCTCACGCAAACATTTCACTATTTGTTTCTACTTCTTTCACCATTACCTCCATTTTGGCTGTGCTGATGTCATTTTGTCCGAGTGCAGGGGCCGACGGTTACCGGGCTACTCCCCTTCCAGTGCCCGCCGCAGTTGCCGGCCTAGTCCCTCGCTTCGGAACCAACCAGCAAACTTTTCCGTTGCAGCTCTCTCACGCATGTCGTCTCACTTTCCCCCTCCCCCGACTTAGTCGGGTGAAGTAAGGTCGGCTCTGGCCTGTCAGCTGCCATAGCTGTATGCTGGTGCATGTGGCCAGGCTATCCTCAAAACGGACTAACATGGCAGCTCAAGGCTAATGTAGTCGTCATTCCACAAACATTTCTCACTACTACTGAATCTTACTACCTGTTTAGAAAACATTACCTAATTTATTGCGTCAGTTCATCTTGTCGTTATCAGGGTCTTATTTTTGAAACTTCAGTCCTATATGAGGCTTGGTGCCCACTTAAGAGAGTCTTTGTTTGTTAGTTCTGTTTCCGTCAACAAAGTCTTTGTAGACATACGCTAAGGCTGGGGCCACACGGGCGCACGAAGTACGTCCGTTGCAACGAACGTACTTTATGACGGACGTTGCTGAGGACACCACACAGTTGTAGAATGCGGTGCGTAGTTTTTTGTCTGCACTGGAGCCAGAAGAAAGCGTGGCATTCGCCTCTCTTGTTTATTTCTACAACGGACGTCACGACGTTCGTTACAAATGACGCATTTTGTGCGCTCGTGAGGCCGCAGCCTAAAGGCGCGTCCACATTACTCGTGCTCGTGCTCGTGCGACTCGCTAAGCTCGCGAGTAATGTGGACGATATGACAAGTAACGCGACAAGCAAATTTTTAATTTTTAATTTAAAAACTGTAGCCAATAAATTAAAATACGACTACAGCCTATACACACTACTAGTAAATACACGGATCCTCACCCGCCGAAGCCTGGCGAGCAACTGAAGTAGTGTGGAGGAAGATTTACGAGCACAAGTAAAAGCCAGACGAGTATCCCGACGAGCACAAGCCTGACGAGCACGAGCACGAGTAATGTGGACGCGCCTTAAGAGTTCTGCCATCATAAGATATAGCGACGGGCTAGGGATGGGTTCGATTCCCGGAATTAGCAAGATTTATTTATATATTCCACAGCATCTAGACGGGGGGTTGCAGTGCCAAGGTGAAGAATGGTGGAGCTATACATTTTTTGTAATGCTAGTGGGGTGGGACTAAGTCCCTTCTGCTGCGGCCACTTCTGGCCAATTGTACCAGCACCAGAAGACAGGTGAGGGTGAGTGTAGAGCAGTTGGTGGAATGAAGATTGGCAGGGGAAACCGAAGTACTCGGAGAAAACCTGCCCCAGCGCCACTTTCTCCACCACAAATCCCACTTGACCAAACCCGGGATCGAACCCGGTCCGCCACGGTGGGAAGCCAGCGACTAACCGCTTGAGCTGTGGCGCGGCCCGAGCTGTGCCTCCACGTACTCATGCATATTCTTGGCCTGTTGCTTGATTAGTTAAGCACAGGGATGTCTTTACTTTTACCTGCGCACCCACTTCTCTGCTTTGTTCGCTGTTCGTTTAAGTGTTCTAAAGAGATATGTCCCGGAAAGAAATTTCGACATATTCCTTCCTTTCGACGATTTCACGACGAAACGTTGCACAAAATCTGCTATGAAATATACGCCATGTCTGTCAGTCCATCAGTCTGACCGCGTGTAACAACTTGAGGACCCCAAAACGAATATTTATGGAGTTGTATAAAAAATATAGACGACTTTTACCAGCTTTTGCCTGTACTTAACTACCATCATCAACGGGCAATTTGCATGACAACTTTGGCTGCTACATACATATCTGCACGCATCTCGAGCTTAACTCGTCACGTAGCGTAAACTATTTTTCTGAGCGAAAAATAATTCGAACAGACGCTGTGAAGATGATTAATCATTCTCTGGTCTATACGATTTTTGAGATATTAATTAAACAAAGGCCGATCACAGGAGCCGCGCAGTCTAAGTCATGAACTGCCTCCGCCCGCTCGAATATTTAGGGCTGTGGGTTCGAATCCTGCTCGAGGCATGGATGTCTGTGTGCGTTTATTTTGTATTTGTGTTGTCCTGTGTAGGTAGCAGTCTTGCGTCCGGTTGATCCACGTCCAAGGAGTCCCACCGACTGTCTGTAAAATGAAGAAACTGAAGTGAAACCAAACGTTTTACAGACGCCCAATGCGCCAAACGGAGCAACAGGACATATGAACGAATGAAAGAATGAATTAAAGAAAGAGACCTTTTATGTCGTCTGATCTCATGTCATGTGATGTATCGAACTGATATCTGGAGTGAGGAACGTAACACAGCGAAGGTCACAAAACTGTCAAACTATACACGTATGTACACTTGCCACTGACTGATGAGAACTACTATCTTCTGAGATATGACGCTGTGTATTATGGAAGACATTTACCGGCGTTTCGGAAGAACGTACTCCATCTTGATTTGTTTACTATTCAATTCTGAATATCGAGGAAATACTTTCCTCCGAAACGTCGACATAATTCCAATATACGACATTCGGAGGAACGTATAGCCTCCGCCTTCAAGTTAGAAGTGTAGACGGGATTCAGCTGGTACTGGTCCCGTGGGCAGTTATTGTGAACATGATACTGAAACACCGGACGTTATAAGAGGATAGTGGGAGAGGAGCTTGACCAGCTGAGCGACTGTCATCTCCTCAAGACGAGTCTGCTTCGTGGAATCAACAAATGTGATGCCTGTTTCCTGACGCACTAGAACGTTCCATCATGTCCAGTCTCAGTACATGTCTGTCTGCTGACTGACGCAACGCTAGTTCTCAGACCCTTTTCTTGTGAACCAACGAAATTTTGCATGGGACTCGGAAGTTATACACCCACACTGCCCCATTTTGCCGGTTTAAATAGCCAGCAGTCGGCAGTATTCGTCTGAATATCGGCCTATCATTTCATCCAGATTCTCTTTTGCTCCACTCATCCTGTTAGTTCTTGTCTAGGTTTACATCTTATGCTTTCATTCCTTGTTCAGTGTCAGCGAACTAATTTTTGTTGGGTGCAAAGAGTTACATCTTCTGTTTGTCCGCGGCCTCTATCAAAATGATAATTTGATAACCCCAGTGCCGTGGGCAGTGTGTCTTTTTGGGCCTTGTGAAACGTATCCGCTAGTTGCACCCTTTGGTAGAACTTTGCAACTTGTATGAACGTATGAGGGGTAGGCCTCATCGGCCCTTGCACCGCGACCTGCAGTGGTCTATTGTGCTTTACTCTGCAACATAATATTGGCATATTGGTTTTTATTGTCGATTTATTATTTGATTTCCTTTTTGATATCGCTGATTATTTTTATTTTTCCTGTCTTTCACTAATTAGGGCTTCGTATTCACTCGTAATTTATTCGCACGATTTAAAGCAAACGCTTCGAAAATAATTGCTCTCTCATAATGTCACTTTGCCACTCCTTGAGAATAAAACAAATTATTATGCGAATAGAACTTTAATCAACCCTAAATTAATGCGTTTACCAATTGGTTCTCAGTTTTCTCTTACTTTTAAAGAATCGACGAGAAACTTTCGTGTTCACGAACGATCCTGTGGTTCTTCCAGTCCTGTATCCTTACTCAAGAAACTAGTCCGCAGGAAGGTCACGTGGAAGCGCAAGTAGAGTTGGCGCACGAGGCCGTATGCGTTACAAGGTCGCATCCTTCAGATCTTGTTTTCCTTGGTCCAAAACAAAATAAGGAATTTACAACCAAATAAAAAAATAGAAGAATAAACCAATAATAGGCGACGTTCAGCTATTGCTAACTGTTGAATTTTATATACAATAAAGCCAGAAATTTTCCAGTAATTTTCAGAATTTATTCTGCTTTATATCTGACTGGATATTGGTAGCCATGCAAGAGTCTATAGCCTAGGAAAATTTAATGCCGTTGAACTTAATCTAGCTCAGTATATGGCGTTTTTTTCTGAACTCGTTAGTGAACTTTCGGGTTCCGCAATTTCTTGAACAACTGGGCGACTGTCGGTATCCAAAGTAGGATTTTGCTTCATGGGGTTAGTGTGTTAGTTTCCGAGGAAGTCATGGTACTCCTACGTTGACATGGGACGCAACAAGAAGCAGGCTGAAGCAGCCGTGAGAAGCCTAAACTTCATAGAAAAGACAAAGAATGCTTAGGCCGGTTTACAAAAAGGTTAGAAATGCATATTACAACAGATTTTTACTTGCGAGGTTGAGGAAGGAGGCGATGCATGACGTTACCAAGAGCTCGTTTTGAATGGAAAATGTATAGCTTCTAATTTTATTCCTTAATTATGATATCAAGGAACATATTTGAGATCTGAGCACTGAAGACGGCGAAGGCTTGTATTGTGGTATTGCAGGTTACTGCCCCATAGTACCGAGCAGATTGGTCTAGAGAAACTCGCCTTAAACCTCGGCTCGAACATCGAATATTCTGGCTGAGGGTTTCTTCGATAGTACATGGCCCTTCCAGTTAAATTCTGGAATAATACCACGATCGCGCCACGACGGCTTCCTTGCGAATCCTTTCCAACTCATTATTTATCTATTATACTACCAGAGAGTGTTTGTTAAAAGCAAGAACAGTGGAGGCATAGAAGCAGCCATTGCTAGGTAATGGGCCGTACACACGCAGCAGAGGAACGTGTGACGTACACTGTGACGTGACGGAATAGTAGAAGAGGTGATGCAAGCAGCGTTCTACGTGGATCCGCGCCACGTTCGTTGCTACTGAACTGTGTGGTAAACACATTTCTGCATCAGTGAATCAACGCGCAACAATCTAGTAAGTGATGTTTTCTGTGGGTCAGTCCCGAGGCTGTGTAACGAGGATATGACCCAGCTGGAATTAGAACTGAGTCGAGTTCCGGAGTTGGCAGTTGCAACGGAGAATTGAGTCTGCAGTTCAAGGTGACTGAGAAGAAATGGCAAGATAGAAATTAGGCTGTGCAAAGAAGACTTCATAGTGTGCTGCAGTTACAGTTAGACTCTTACGAATCCGTTGCCAGGATATGCCTAGTGAAAACTGAGGACATTAGTGTGTGTGTGTAACAGTCACGAAAAAGTTCGTTAAATAACCGACGGAAAAATACACATTATTGCTTGCCTCTTCAGTATAGGAAGGGCATAGACGAATTTGCATGGGAATGCATAGTTAGGGCAATGTCA